TGCAGAGCACAGGCTCCAGACGTGCAGGCTCAGCGGCCATGGCTCACAGGCCCAGCTGCTCCGCGGCATGTGGGATCTTCCCGGACCAGGGCACGAACCCGTGTCCCCTGCATCGGCAGGCGGACTCTCAACCACTGTGCCACCAGGGAAGCCCCCGGCCACACCTTTTACGTAACCTTGTTATAGCCTCCCATGCACTCTGGGGTCCAGTCATGTGACTTTCTTTGACCAATAGGATGTCAGCAAACTGGCTCTGGGACACCATTCCTGAGGAGGCAGGGTAAGCCTCAAAGCCTGGAACTGCCTCTCTTTTAAATTTATGAAAATACAGGCCCTTAAGGGTTGTGTCATCTACTCTAATGTATCTTTCAGTCAAAAGTGTACCAATGCATTCTAACCCTGAGAGCTTAGGTTTGGAATTAGTACAACTGAATATACAAGTCACCACCTTCAATGGCAAAAATTACACAACTAAAAATTTAGGACTATAATACAGTACATAATTTATGGTACCTAGGTTAAGTAATTTGAAACATATCAACAATTTAGGGTTTACTCTTACAAAAATTCAGAGAAATCCTCTGCACAGGGAACCTTGATATTTTTAAGTGGGAAGTAAATTAAAAGACCATTGCAGGACTTCCCTGGTGGTGCAGTGGTTAAGAATTTGCCTGCCGATGCATGAGACATGGGTTTGATCCCTGGTCCGGGAAGGTCCCACATGCCGTGGAGCAATTAAGCCCATGCGCCGCAACTACTGAGCCCACACACCACAACTACTGAAGCCCGTGCTCTCTAGGGCCCGCATGCCACAACTATGGAACCTGCATGCTGCAACTACTGAAGCCTGCATGCCTAGAGCCCACGCTCCGCAACAAGAGAAGCCACTGAAATGAGAAGCCAGTGCACTGCAACAGAGAGTAGCCCCCGCTCACCACAACTAGAGAAAGCCTGCACACAGCGAAGAAAACTCAACGTAGCCAAAAATAAATAAATTAAATTAAAAAACAAAAAATACTATTGCACGGGCCAAAGGAAAATACCAAAAACGCAAAACACATGTCCCTTCTTCCATAGCAAACAGCCTATGTATAATCTAGGTCACTATTCCAACCGCACTTTTCATATATTAAACTAACTTATGTTTCTAACTGTAACATAAATACTATAATCTTCTGTAGTTTTACAAATAATATAGGCAAGCACAGAGATTTAGTGATAGTCCAAGGTCACACAGCTAGTAAGGGCTAGATTTGAATCTATGCAGTTTGGCTCTGGAGTTGGGATCCTTATCTTGGCAACAAGGAAGTATATCATGGATGACAAATCCACTTAAAATCTCTCAGCCTGAATGTACTTTTAAATTTCAAACACTGCTGTCACCCAAAACAAAAACCCTCTTTTCAACGAATGGTGCAGGAATAACTGGACATCAACATGCACAAAACTTAGGGACTTCCCTGGTGGTGGTGCAATGGTTAAGAATCTGCCTGCCAATGCAGGGTACACGGGTTCAAGCCTTGGTCCAGGAAGATCCCACATGTCACAGAGCAACTAAGCCCACGCACCTAGAGCCTGTGCTCCACGAGAAGTCACCACAGTGAAAAGCCCCTGCACTGCAACGAAGTGTAGCCCCTGCTCACCACAACTAGAGAAAGCCCATGAGCAGCAGTGAAGACCCAACGCAGCCAAAATATTTATAAGAAACAAAACAAAATTTAATCTAGAGACTTAAATCCTTTACAAAAATAAACTCAAGATGGATCAGACTTAAATGTAACACACAAACCTATAAAACTTCAAAATAACATGGGAGAAAACCTAGATGATCTTGGGTACCAATGACTTTTTAGAAACCTACCACCAAAAGCGCAACCTATGAAAGAATGACCAACCGGACTTCTTACAGATCAACTTCTCTGTGAAATACGTGCCAAGAGAACAAGACAAGCTAGATTGGGGGGAAATCACAGCTTCTCACAAAACTGAAAATACTCTTACTATTTGATCTATCAATCACACTTCTTGGTATCAATCCAAAGGAATTGGAAACTTAACTCCACAAAAAAATCCCTGCACACAGATGTTAATGGCAACTTTTTCTTAACAGTTAAAAACAAACATATCCTTCAATAGGTGAATAGGTAAACTGGTATATCGAAACAATGGACTATTAACTCAGCACTGAAAAAGAAAAGGAATTACAAGCAGATAATGAAGATTAACTACTGGAAAAAGAAAACATGAAGATGAGGAGCTAATGTTTGAACCTATGGAGATGGTCTATGAAAATGTTTGAATGTTATTTGTCTAAAAACTCCACAGAGACTTCCCTGGTGGTCCAGTGGTTAAGAAGCTGCCTTCCAATGCTGGGGACTTGGGTCCTTGGGGAACTAAGATCCCACATGCCGTGGGGCAACTAAACCCATGTGTGCACTAGAGCCTGCGTGCCACAACTACTGAGCCCACGCACAACTAGAGAGAAGCCCATGTGCCACAACGGAGACCATGTGCAGCAACAAAAGAGCCTGCATGCCACAATGAAGACAAGACATGACCAAATAAATTTTAAAAAATAAGAAAAAGTCCACATAATCTTAGAGAACAGATGTTTATTATTCGCAACCAGAATGCTTTAGTTCTTGATGGCCCTCTCTGGTACACATCTATTTTGTAATAGGTAAAAACCACCTTGGAAAATATATGCTCATACAGGTTCTTTTTGTAAAAGATATTTATGATAGACAATTGTGAACTGCACAAAGATACAGACTAAAATGGAACATTTCAGAAAGAACTAGGATAAAACAGCGTTAGTAATGCTATTAGTGTTACCATGTAAATGAGTGAAAGTTTCCATTTTATGTGGTTTTAGGATACTTAAATTCAGATTTTTAATTTTTTTAATTTGATTAGGTACGTTTGTAATTTACATTAAAATATTAACAAGGATATGCCATGTATAATTTTAAAAATTGCAGTAAAAATATATCCGTACCACACAACTCTACTGTTGCAATTCTTCCTACAAAAGGGGCTCTTCTACTGCGTTCCTGACCAGGTGTGTTTGCATGTGGGGAGCACTACCCAAAGTTTAGATCTTACAGTGTCTTTCAGAACTTAAAAAATAAACTGGGGACTTCCCTGGTGGTCCAGTGGGTAAGATTCCATGCTCCCAATGCAGGGGGGCCCGGGTTCCATCCCTGGCCAGGGAACTATATCCCGCATACATGCAGCAACTAAGAAGTCTACATGCAGCAACTAAGACATTTGCATGCCACAACTAAGAACTGGTGCACCCAAAATAAAAAATAATAAACTAAAAAAAATAAATTGTAAGCTAAAAAGAAATGAGCTATTAAGCTATGGAAACACAGAGGAACCTTCAATGCACATTACTCAAAAAGTGAAAGCCAATCTGAAAAGACTACATACTATACGATGCCAACTGTAACAGTCTGGGAAAGGCAAAACTAAGGACAGTAAAAATATCAGCGGCCAGAGGTTGGAGGTGAGGATGAATAGAGCAGTTTAGAGCAGTGAAAACACTCTGTATCCTATAATGCTAAATACATGAGGGATGTGGATAATGCGGGAGGCTATACATGTGTGGAGCAGGAAATATACTGGAAATCTCTGCACCTTCCTCTCAATTTTGCTGTGAATCTATAACTACTCTAAAAGTCTTTTAAAAAAAAAAAAGCCAACTGCGTAGAATCCTAAATTCCCCACTAACTTAAGCCATTTGTGGAATCCCACTGGGGGTGACAAGAAAGCAGCAATATTAAATTTGGGAATAAAGGGAGCAAACAATTCTCTTGGCTCATCTCTAGTTCTTTGTATTCTATAACCCGGTTTCATTGCATTTGGTTTAGAGAAGGCAGGCATAACTCCCAATGCTGGCAACCCCTAAAATACAAACAAAGTTAAACATTTCCAAAGACTTAAGGAAAACTCCAGGAAGAGATACACATCCATTCTTACAGTAACAGGTAGAACAAAAATGGTGCTAAAAACAAACTATACAGATTCATATAAATTTTGTAAGTACAAAAATTTATTCTGAATAAATCATTTTGTAATTACTGAAAAAGATGTTCATTACTTTACTTAGCTAATATTTACTTAAATCGAGTTACCCAAACAAAATAAACATGGCAATACAAAAATGTAAATTTACAAAAGCTGTACAAAATAACTTAAATTTAAAAATTAGACTGATACAGTCCATATGATCTCTTAAGGGAGCTATACAATTATAGATTTATGCACTTTTTTTAAGGGGGTAAAAGAAAGGATGCTTTAAGGCTTCTTTAAGAGTAATCCTTTTAGCTGGATCATACTCCAACATTTTCTGAATGAGGTCAAAGAGAAGCTCATGTTCAGCATCTTGAGAAAGCATAAATTCCTGAAAGGAAAATAAATACAATTAACAGCCTTTTCTACTACCACTTATTATAAAAAAGAGGGAAAACTCAAGGTTTTGATCACTTAAGCAATGACCCAGGCTTACCTTCAGAGGTTTACAGCGCCTTGAAACATATCTGCCAGCAGAACTATGTTCATCCCAGTCTAATCGATCATGATGGAAATATTTACGTTTCCTAAGAGTAAGTCCATATCCATTCATGTTTATAATGTTGACAATAAAAACTTAAAACATCTAGCAAAGGTGATTGATGGCACTTACTCTTAAACATACCTGGTTTTCTGTATCATATGTTTTGGCAAAGGTCCAAGAATCCTTTCCATCATTGCCAAATGCTCCTTACTATCATGTGTCTAAAATAGTAACAAGAAGTTATTAACTACCTCTATTTGCACATTGTGCTTTGTTCTTATTTAACACAGCTGCTAAATTTTTAGTCCGTAGATTACAGGTCACAAAGGAAGGTGATCTCTAAAACAGGCATACTTTTAGCAAGTTACAGCTTAGAAGAAAAAATAATTAAGGCCTACAGAAGTTCACCAACAATTTCCCTAAATAAAAAAAGATAACTATTTGTAATATACTTAGAAATGTTTCCAATAAAATGATAAATTATAAAGAAAATACAAATGCCCAACAGCATCAGAATTACACATGATTTTATTTCTTTATCTTTACCTACAATTAATAGTCTATAATGAGAAAGAGAAAAAGCGCTACCTAAATGTGTATACTTTGTGTTAAATTCATATAAACAGGCAATTTACTTTTGCAAAGTCACTGAAACAGATCATTGTCACTTACTGGAAATACTGTAAACCCAAGGTAATATTCAATAAGAATACATCCTATACTCCAGACATCACATGGCTGGGACCATCCTAGGGCTGCAAAGTAAAGCAAATTGTTAATGAAAAACTCAGTATTTCCTATCAACATTTTAAAAAACAAGGATATAATCTGATGTTTGAGCTGGAAAGATCCTAAAGAAATCACTTAATCCAAGCTTAAACATAATATGACGGTATAGCATGTAAGAATTAGTTAGAGCTCTGGAGACATCTAGTTTCAAGCCCCAAATCTGGCTTACTCTTTTGGGACTGATTTGGGAAAAATTTTTTTTTCCTAAATCTCCATTTACTAACTTGTAAAATGGGAGCAATCTACACCATGCAAAGACTGACTAGACATGACATGTATGAAGTATACCAGGCATTATATGATTATGTTTTAAAATCCCATCACGGGATTTCCCTGGCGGTCAGTGGTTAAGACTCCATCTTCCACTGCAGGGGGCGCACGTTGGCCGCAAGCCAAAAAATAAAAATAACATCCCATCACATACTACAAATGTGCAAACTGAATTTCAGAAAGATTAAGCAACTTCTCGAAGTCCCAGAGCTGACTACTTAGACTAAGCAAGACCTTAAAACCCTTAATGTGTTTTACTATACTAATCCCTAAAAGGGAAAAGATAGTCCTACAAACACCGAGAACTGTAAATTTTAAAGTTAGCTTCAATAAAGACATACACAGGTCTCAAAGCACAATTAAGAAATTCTTACCTAAAATAACTTCAGGTGCCCTATAGTGTCTTGTAGATACCAATGTACTGTGATGTTCATCATCATATGTTGCACTTCCAAAATCTACAACTTTAACATCTGGATTTATTAAAGTACGTTCATCACGTTTCTGAAAATCATAAATGATTAAGGAGGCAATTACATTGTTGTAAAACATTCACTTAAAACTATGAAGATAAAACATCAAAGACTTACCATTTTGGGATTATATGCCTCTGTGTAGTCAGATTGTACAAATAAGATGTTTTCAGGCTTTAAGTCTGTGTGAGTCAACTTATTACTGTGCAGAACTGAGAATGAAACAGAAAAGTTCCTGTATTCTAAAAACTGAAAACCAAAAACGTAACCAAACCCCAAAGCCCTGCAACAAAAATCCTCTCTGAATGCCTTTTCATATGTCCAAATAGTGGTCAACATTCAACAGCCTACTACAAAACCACCAGGGACCAAAACCCATTACCCCTCTAAGAAGTTAGTTCACTGACAGCTAACTGCTTAGAACTATCTTTCTCTTATGAAGCTGAGATGTGCCATTCCTTAATTTTAACCCAGTGGTTCTAGATTATCATTTTTAGAAATTAGAAGTTAAATCAGTCTTACACAATTTATTATTGTATGCTGGACAATATTCTCTTTACTGAATGAAATGCAGTAAACTGACCAACCGCTTGTAATCAACCACATCTTTCTCCTACCTACTCTTAAACAATGCTTTTTAAAAAAATATTATTTATTTATTTATTTATTTTTGGCTGCATTGGGTCTTCAATGCGGTGTGCAGGCTCCTCATTGTGGTGGCTTCTCATTGCGGAGCACAGGCTCTAGGTGCACAGGCTTCAGTAGTTGCGGCTCGTGGGCTCAGTACTTGTGGTGCACGGGCTTAGTTGCTCTGCGGCACGCGGAATCCTCCCGGACCAAGGCTCGAACCCGTGTCCCCTGCCTTGGCAGGCGGATTCTTAACCACTGCGCCACCAGGGAAGCCCTCTCCTACCTACTTTTTTTTTTTGCGTTACGTGGGCCTCTCACTGTTGTGGCCTCTCCCATTGCGGAGCACAGGCTCCAGACGCGCAGGCTCAGCGGCCATGGCTCACGGGCCCAGCCGCTCCGCGGCATGTGGGATCCTCCCGGACTGGGGCACGAACCCGCGTCCCCTGCATTAGCAGGCGGACCCCCCAACCACTGCGCCACCAGGGAAGCCCCTACCTACTCTTAATTAAGTCAGGCCTCCAAATCATATATTAGATTGTATTTTCTTCTTTTCAAAGATTTAAATTGGTCTGGCATTAAAATCAGTCTCCATAAACTCAAGTTTCTGGAATATATGCCAAACACTTACAATTCACAGACTTGCATATCTGATATGCCATCTTCCTGATATGATCCAGTCGAAAGGGCAGAAAACCATTTTCCTTAATAAAGTCATAAGTACTAAGTCCTAGTAGTTCAAACACAATGCAGACATGACCATGATGCTCAAACCACTCCAACATCTGGACACAGCGGCTATAAACATATGAGAAAAAAACTGAGTACAGCCTCTTACAATTCAAATCTACCCGAGGCCATTTTCTAAGTTCTATTTTGATACTTACAATGTTCTGCTGGGGTCTGTTGTATTTAAGTGTTCCAGAACTTGTATTTCTGAGCGAGCAGCTTCACAATATCTATCCACATTTTTAACTATTTTTACTGCTACATGTCTACCTCCCCTGTTAACGAAAAGTTAACATTAAAAAAATGATAAAGATGATGTCCAATTCCATTTTTCCATTACTCTTCAAACTGTACTACTTCTATTCTGACCCATTGTATTTGTTTTTGTTAATTTACGGTTTAGCATTCAGTTTTGTCTAATTATACGGTAAGTACTCTAACTTCAACTCAGTGTAAGCAACTAGAATGACCTTTGGGCATACGGTAGGGTCGGTAACATGCTGAATGACAGATTTTCTTTCATCAGACCACTTGAATTTTTTTTTTGGTCCTTTAACTGCGTACCAATAGCTCTAACTTAACAATACTGGGACATTATCACCTCAATTTACATTACAACTAAGACGTAAAACAAATTTACATAGAGCAGTTTCTTCCTATAATTCCAGTCACTGGCTAATAACTCCAATCTTCCTTTGGTCCAGGTTACCAAAAAAGTTGGGATATAGTGGGGATAAAGAAGTTCTAGTTCTAAAAACCTTACCAACCAATAGTAGGAAGCCTCCTCTAATAATTCATTTAGAAAAGCTTTGCCATTCCAAAGGGGGAAAAAAAATCAAACAGGAAACAAAGTAAAGAAAATTTCTTACACTATGTTAAGAAATTTCAATCAGTTGTTTGAAGGGCATAGATAATTAAACTTATGACACCAATCTAGGAGAGTTCTCAGCTCTAGCTGTGTTACCCCTTATCAATTAGGTTACTTTCTAAAAATATAGGTTCCTAGGTAAACTACCCTGAAGATCGGTTCCATGTCTGGGGTAGGCAAAGCTCCACAGACTCCTAATATAAAACCAAGGCTAAAATCTACTGATCCAGAAAAAAAAAAACAACAACAATGGCCACAACTGTGCCCAGTGGGACAACAAAATACTTTCTGAAACAATAAAATCTATTCTCAGCTTGTAATTAAAGACTTACACATACTATTAATAGCTACTGCTTAAGAACACAAAAGGCTAGTAACTTTATTGGAGTTTCCTATACATAAATCAAAAATCCAAGCTAAAAGGGTATAATGATGTGTCTAATTTATGGTCAGACTATATCTTAAAGCTGAATAAATTTTCTATACTGTTCACCTTCCCAAGTGCAATCCCAGGCCAGGAGACTTACGCTTTATGATCAATGCACTCCATGACTTTCCCAAAAGCTCCTTCACCTAAAGTATCTACAATTTCATCTAAAAGAGAGAAATAAAACTCAGTTATACCAAGAAGTGGAAACAGTTTACTTACAGTAAAGGCTATCAAATGTAGATTATTCTAGTTGATGCTACAAATTTCCTTAGTCACTAGATATTTTATTGGTCAACACTGCCAAAAAACATATATAACTATTTTTAGGTCTAATTTCATTCTTAAGCTAATTTCATTAACTTGATTTACTGTTTTGGAAGTTCTGCATAACAAACATTAAATTTCTAAAGAAAGTAAAAACACAATCCCCCCCCACCAAAAGAAATGGAAAAAAAACAAACAAAAACAGAGAAAGAAAAAAAGATTTCCAAATCCCTGAAATCTTAATCTATATATAGATTATTTTATCTGAAAAGTTAATAAGTGTTGAAAAATATTCTATACATCTTGCACTTAGTACGTCTCCACTCTGACAGATCAGGTGACCCTCCTCATCATCCTCTACACTCCTGGTTCTTTTCCTTCGGTGACTCTTCTGGAAACGTCAAGTGGGCGGCACCAAGATCATCCAGCCAATCAATATACCCGAGTGAATTCAGGGCAGAATACGAAATTCATTCAGCGGGGAGATATTCAGGCATTCAGATACACGCCAGGCCACAAACGGTTGGCAGGAGCAATTTCAAATTCAGTCCCCAGAAATTCACAGGGCACATAGTTTATGTTAACAGGAGAAAAACATGGCAAGGAACAGATTTTCAGATAAGATACTCAAAGTGGCAAGGCAACAAAACATAATACAATTGTTTTTCTTTTTAAAAAAAATGCTTAGTTGTAGCATTCACTGAAACATAATTTTAAGTTTCTAGTGTCCTAATTTAATGTTGCAAAATTGTAGAATATTTACTTGTCAAAAGTAGACTGTGGCCAAATTATAATTTCCCGGCTAAACTAAGAAAACAAATAACAAAACAGCAAATAAAATTAAAAACCCTAATTTTGGGGAGAAAAAAAAATTGGCATACAAGAATAATACTATGGTATTTAAAATGTCATCTGAGCTTGATATCCAAATTAACCCATAACCCATAACATTCAAATCTGTTTAAGTGGTTTCCTTAGTGAAAAAAGGATTAGAGAATATGCTTTGCCAGAACAAAGAGGCATGCACGGCATAATCCTCAGTCGTACAAATATAAAAATTCTACTTCTATTTGTATTAAGACATTTAGCAAATCACATTTCTTGAAGTACTATAAGAACTTTCAGAATATCTTGTAATCCGTGCTATAAACTAACCTAAATTACCTGTCACTGGAATGACAATTAGTTGCCAACTACTAATAAAATCTATTACTATATTAACTATACACATATGGTATTTGCAAAATTTCCTATCCAATGCACAAACACAAAGACTCCTGCAAGTTAAAATCGAGACAACTTTATCTTAAACAGAACTTCCTCAAATGACCAAACACAATTTCAAGTTTTCCTGTTCCACAAGGGAAATAAAATTTCCAAAATATTTTAAAAGAGCTCATACCCCATGTGAACGGTGATATGAAGTGCTGTGGTGAATTCTGTGTTTGCTTTTATAACTACTTCTTCCACTTCTACCAGAGGACTTGCTACTATGGTTCTGATATCTGCTTTCATGATCTCTATGACCATGTCCAGGTTCACATCCTTGACTGTAGTCATTTCTGTATTCATCAATGTAGCGTCGACTATGATAATCCTTCCCATTTATGGATCTGCTTTCCAGATAATAGCTAGAAAAAGTGAAAATGCGTTTTCAATGCTCTATGTTAATCCCAAATATCCTCAGATTCTCAGTAAATCTCTTAAAACAGTACTCTTAGTAAGATTTTACGCTTTTCTTAGCAAAAAAAAAAAAAAAAAAACCTCCCAATTTTACAATCATTACAAGTTGTCACTAGAAACAGAAATGGTAATCAGTTATCGTAAATTGCCTCTAGTTTTCATCATGAAAATGTATTTTTCCCTCGGTTTTACTGAGCTACAACTGATATGTAACACTGCAATGAAAGTATTTTTATACTGAGACACTATAAACATCGTCATTACCTATCAGATGTCTTAGAGTAATTGAATCTGCAGCGCTTGTTCTCCCGGGCACTGCTGTGTGATCTCCTCCTCCTTTTATGACTGCCGCTGCTGCTCCTCCATTTTCCATAATCCCAATCTTTTTCATCCCAATCAGGACAGTAAGTTCTCTTTGAGTGTCTCATCTACATAAAACACAAGTTTTTCCCAGTTAAATATTACCCCACGTCCACACTGTCGCAAATTGACTCTAGTCGTGACGTTTTATTGTTCTTTTAAATCAAAGTTCAAAAATCATCATCACCCAACCTGAAATCACTGATAAACCCAATGATTTTTTTTCCTGCTGTCTCAAAATCTAGAGTCTGAACTTTATTCATAGATATTCTGCATTATTCATGTCACGCTCAGATTTACTAGGAAAGGGTTGGAAAAATAGGAGGAAATCCCAATTTCTGAACGTTGGGAAAAATCCTTTCCTGCCAGAAGCACAAATTCCTAACAACTTGAAAAAGACGTTATATAGAAACTTTTCACCAGCTACCGTTCATATCAGTACTAACTGCCCGGGCCTCACCTCATCTCTAAAGGCAACTCAAAATCAAGAAGCTCCAATTGTTCTGGGCGGGGGGGTGTGCAAAAAGTACCTTCGGCTTAATGGCCCCACTGCCCGACTTCTCTCACGCGCTCCTTCAAATACGCCATATTATTTTTCTTTCCTCGAGATCCTAAACCTGACTTTTGTTTCCACCACTGAAGGCAAAGGCACGCGCCATTTTCCCCGGAATCCTTTAAGACCCAACTGAACATTAAGTGACACCGCCTTACACCAGGTCAACGTGTTCTTTCTTTTCATTTGTTAAGAACACTTCCTCAGAGGAGTGAGGCTTAGGCACATTCCAGAACCCGAGTCAACGCCACCCCCCGCAGGTGACCTTGCCGTCTCCGCCCCGCCGCCATTTTACAGCCCGGCCTCCGCCTCCGCCGCCGCCGACAACATGGCGCCCGTGGGCTCTGGGGCTCGGCCCTCCCCCCTCCCTTTGGGGAAGGCAAACGTTCGAGAACCTTCCCCCGCCTGGCAAACCCTATCGCTACCCTCAACCAGTGACTGGAGCGTTGCGGTTCAAACAGAAATTCGCTGCGACGGGCTTGGCAAAGCATGGAAGACGAGCGGGCCACCTTTCTGCGGCCGGGAGGGTACGGAAAAGGGGGGTCACCGTGCCGGAGACTGCGGGCGCCCGACAAGCTTGGAGGAGAGCGTCACAAGCGCTCTCGAGGCACAAAAAGAGGCCCTGACACCTGGCCTGCTTCCTCCTGCGTCTTACCGTCCTGGAAAAGAGTCCAAGCCTAAGGAGACAATGCTTGCGACGCGACCACGGAGAAAACGCAGCTGGCTGCTGCGAGCTCCGGCAGCAAAATGGAGCTGACAGCCACCGCGTCAGGACTCTCCTGGAAAACAAGATGACGCTGCAAGCGGGCCTCCGCCTCCGGGCGGGGCGCGCACGCGGGTAGGGCGGAGCCGACTCCTGCTCCGACTTGTGCGCAGGTTCTGGGTCGGACGCTCAGCGACCAAGGGTGGAGCCGAGGGAAGCTGTTGCTGGCCGCCATGTTGGCCCCGCTCTCTGTTCCGACTCTGAGAAAACATTGTAAGAGTTGGAGAGAACAGACTCGCTCATGGTCACTAAAAATTGTGTTTGTGAACGCTAGAAATGAGGAAAAGTGAGGGAAGCAGGGTAAAAAATAGCCTGTACCCTATTGCAACCGCTTAAACGATGCTTTAAAAAAAATTACACCATCTGCATCAAATAGCCCCAAATTGGGAATTGTCTGGATTTGGGCTTTTGTTAAAGTTCTGAGACCTGTTTAAAACTAGTTAAATCTTCGGTGGCTGGGACCCACACGCACTGAACTTGGATTGTAAAGATTTTTTCCGAGGTTTTAAAAGTCGAAGAAATGTGAGAGCAAAAGCCTGGAGACAGAAAGTGGAACTCCTCACAGGCAACATTTCCGCGTTAAGCGAGACCTCTGCGGTGTAAAGGTCAAGTAAATTGTAAAAGGGGGAAATGGAAGGTCATTAGAAGAAGACAATTACCAGGAAACAACCTCTGAACAACAAAAATCAAGCTGCAATTTTTTTTTTCCAAGCTGCAATTTGATGGAACAAAGTAATTGCCAATCCTGACTCACGCGCCCGCCCCTTCTCCATTTTGTCACTTGAAGAAAATCACGTACTCATTACAAATTTAGTGGAACGCATAAAATTATCACGTATTACGGTAAAGCGTAATCTTACTGGCTTTATTTAGACAGGAGAGCAGCGTAGATAACCTGCCGGATACGGATGCACAACTACTGTAGGGTAAAGTGATGAGGAATATGCATCCCCAGAATCCCTATGCTTGTTTGCATTTCTTAAGCCGCTTCTCAAAATGGCTTTGAAGATGCTTTAAAACCGTTAATATCTAGATTCTTACATGGGGTCAGGGTCACTAAGTACGAGGTAAGTATTTCACTTTTGAGGGAGAAATTTCTCACAGTAACTTGTGAAATTTACAGCTATTCGGTATATGTTTAACAGCACATTTAAATGTTAAGCAAAACCTAGGGAATCCCAGTCCTTGGAGTGTAACAGTTAATCGAAGTGGTTATGCTAAACACTGTACATAAGTTCTCACTTAATCCTAACAGCAATCTAAATATGGGTATTAGCCATGTTCTGCTATTACAGGTCAAAGTTGTAGTTTGTGCAGACAGCAATTTAGAGTATTTAATTTCTTTAGGCGAAATCCTCACAGTAAAATTACAGGGTAAAAGCCAATGAAAAAATCCTGCACATGTTGCCAAAATTGCTTTCCAAAATGGTTTTAAATTTAGCAAAGCCCACATACAGCCGATTACTGGTTCAGGATATATCCAAAGTTTCTTTAATGAAGTTAGCCATTTTAGTGCGTCTGTTAGCGCATGCTATGGGCTGTTTGAATGGCTATGCCCGCTCCCCGCCCCATATACTCATGTGTTTAAGTCCTAACTTCCACTCCCTCAGAATGTGACTGTATTTGTAGTGTGGACTGAAAAAAAAAGCACAGTGTGAGAGTAGTGAGGTAAGTTTTATTTGGGGCAAAATGCCTGGGGAGATAGCCTCTCAGCTCTGAGGAACTGCTCCCAAGAGGTAGGGGGAGAAGTTAGTGTTATATATGATTTTAGTGAAGGGGGATATGTGCAGTCAAGCACACCTTTTGGCAGAGGGTTGCTGCTAGTCACGAGGAGCAGGTAGGTGTCTCCATTAATGATTTTAGTGCTTTTCTAGATATGAGAAGATGCAAGAAATTGGGCTCATAAAATCTTCTGAAAATATCTATCTGAAGGCCTGTTCTGCCAGTTTTCCCCAAAGCACAGGGTGCCTCACTCCTGATCTCCACTCTGAACTCCTTTCAAGGTGTGTTGAAGGTCAGTGACTGCAGTGGCTAGTGACTTCACTCTTATACACTAGAGCCAGATGGTAAGTGACAATTTTTAGTTGGCAGTAAATAGGGTCTTTACAGAGGTAATATGATTAAATGAGGTCATTAGGGAGGGGCCTAATCCACTTTAGCTGGTGTCTTTATAAAGAGATTGGGAAACACACGCCCAGAGGAAAGATGATGTGAAGACAGGAGATGGTCATCTACATGCCAAGGAGAAAGGCCTCAGAGTAAACAACCCTGCCCACACCATGATCTCCCAACTTGGCTCTAGAACCGTGAGAAATTTTTCTGTTGTTTAAGCCACCCAGTCTCTGGTACTGTACTTTGTTTTGGCGGCTCTAACTAAATTAGTGCATAACATTAAAAATTTGTTATTTTGGTGGATACTGAACTTGTATTTTCTAATTAGTGAAGTTGCACATTTTCTCTTGTGACTTGCCCATTCATACCTTATTGCTTTTTTGAATGTACAGTTCTCTTTTGTCCTATTTTCGTGCAGTTAAACCTATTCCATCTTTACCTCTGTCAAGTTTGTAAACTGAGAAATTCCTTTCTTCTTCAGAGGAATTCTTTGAAATGTTTTAAATTTTTCTTCTGTTTTCTTTAAAAAGGCAACTCTTTTATCCATCTGGAATTTTGGTATATCATGTGAGGTGAAATTCTTTTGCTTTTTTTTCTCCATGTCATTTACTGGTTGTCCTAACACAATTTATGGAATAACTTTTTTTTTTGGCTGCGCTGTGCAGCACAGGGGATCTTAGTTCCCTGGCCAGGGTTCAAACTCGTGCCCCCTGCAATGGAAGCATAGTCTTAACCACCACCAGGGAAGTCCCCTCTTCTCTTTTTTAAATGATTTTTGGATACTGCTTTAAATAAATTATGTATACACTACTGTTTACACTCTT